CAACAGGGTCCGCTTCTTGATCCGGCGGCTCTTCGAAATCATCTTCAATCTTGTGACGAGGATCTTCTTGTGGGTGATCTTCATACTGAGCATACTGTGGATAACCACCATCCTCGATTGCAGAGATTGGCATGTTGTATTTATGCCAAATGCGGTCAAGTTCTTCTTCAGAGATAGAAACTCCATCAGACTTTTTCTTCAGATTCTTCTTTAGGTCCTCCATAAACTCTTTCTTTTTCTCTTCCATAGGTTCACTGTTTTGTTCTTCAGCTGATAGCGGAATCACTGACAATCGTTGTAGTACTTGTCCATTGGCAATAGCAACAGCAAAACAAAGAGCTGCTCCAATAGTAAAACTTGGACCAAGCCAACAGCATAGTTGTTTCCCATCCTTAGATGAGCAATTAGGCAAAAGTCACCAACACCAATCCCAAATAGCAAAATCAACCAGGTGAGAGATATCTTTAGTGTTGCCAGAAACGATTGTGGCTCCACATTCTCCTTCTTGTATCGCAAGTCCCAATGCTATGTGACTGCGAATCTCAAAAGCATACATAAAAACTCGATCCCAGAACGCAATAGGGATATTCCTTGCATGCACAAATTGACGGTAAAGTCGACTTCCTTCCCAAATTGTGTCCTCTGTAAGTGTTTGATTAGGATGATGAGGCTCAATAGGATGAATCGGCACTTGTCCTTTGTTAGCAACTTCTCGGAATTTCCCTTGAGTGAGTGACTTGGCATCATCAGGTATGAGACATTGGGGAAAACCGAACTAACGAAATAGTTGTGTGAGGCTTGTGTGAACATCTGATTCTTTGTTCAATGGATAAGCACGAGCCCACTGTACTGGTGTAGCATAGACCGCGACGCAAGTGTTTCCTTCAGCTGACTTGCAGGGTCCAAACTTAACATCAACATAAACATTTGTTTTCAATCTCGGATACTCCAACTGATATTGTACAGGGCGAAAACGGCGAGACCCTTGAACGACCAGCCAATCACGAATGGCACGTTGAGCTGTCTTCTCCAGGGTGCGACGAGCACATTCAATACTGGTTCTCCATCGACGAGCAAGTTGATCCGGCTTGATGAGGTATGATTTTCCGGAAGTTTTCATCGATCGAATTGTCAAACTGTGTATGCCACATACGGCATTGTTGCTGTCCCCTAAAACTTGCGGTAAACGATCAAGGCAAGCAGCAGTTAGGAGCGTTGAATCAAGTCGAGTGAAAGATGCGAGTTGGTGATACGGTGCTTGATAATCAGCATCAATCTGTTGTTGCAGAGCTTCTTCTTGGCGCCTGGAATCAGGATCATAAGGCTGCCAAGGAATGTCTGCAGTCATCCAAACAGGCTGAAACTCCATTATATCGCTGACCTCTTCATTGGTAGGTTGGCGACATGTAAAATAGGAAATTGGCTTGTCAAATAGGAGCAGGATCCGGATACCCGATGTCAAAATAGCATGAGCTTCTCTGTTTCGTTGTTCAGGCCGTAATCGGATTAACGGCACGTCATTTACCACCACGCTGTTGGCACGCAGTTGATCGACACAGAGTAGATGCGATCCTAGACCAGGGATCAAAAGCACTTCACAGAAATGCAGACAGTAGGTTTGATGGTCAAAGGGACAGTCATAGGCAAGACAGACATTTCCAATTCGAACATCGTTTATTTTCAAACCATTGTGGAAACCGGTGACATTTATTGACTGAGAGGATGTTGAAAGGACGCAACATCCAGCAGGGTCAAAAGCACATGTACCTGCGTGCAAGTCCAGTTCACATTGGTTGGTAAGGGTGTTTGTGGATGATAGCACTGATACCACACAAGAGTTTGGGCGAGTGCTGATGAGGGATCTAACAGATGAGGTTCCTAGTCAACGACGGCGACGACTCATTTGTGCACCTGCCCCACGTCCATCATTGTTACTTTCATTGTTACTTCCTTCTTTTGTTTCTTCTTGATCACCCCGTCCATCATGGACAGCGCTGATACCACGACCACGACCACCACGGCCTTCACGGCCTCTTCCGCCATGACCACCACCATTGCGACGGTTGCAACACATTTCTAAACAAATATTTCTTTCTTCTTGTGTAAACTCCTCTCTCCAGATTTGATTTGACTCCATCATTTAGTAGTATCCCATTTTGGCTAAAGCGATCTGGTACATTCGATTGCAGACGGTTTGTGGCGCCATTTCCTTGGCCACGACCTCCACTTCTACCATCACCACCGCGTCCGCCACCACCACGAGTAAAAGCAGCAAGTTGTTGATTGCGGCGCTGGGTGTTGTCGTTACCTGCAGCTAAAACTTGTGTTGTTAGATAATCGATGGCACCTTGGAAATTGGATCGGAGAACGGCATCTCCAGTAATATGTGATCTTCCATTAGAGAGTGAGGAATCTCCAACAGTTTTCTCGAGAAGTACGTCAACCTTATTTGCATCAGAGCGTGGATCACCGTTCAACTCGAGGTCGTTGAAGGCTCCAATAAGGCAACTGATAAAAGTATTCCATGTGAAGCCTCAAGCTTTACCATTCCAGTGAAGTGTTGCAAGGACACGGACAGCAGCTTGGCGTTCATTTGTGAAATGTCCCCTTCCACGATATTGTGCAAACAGAGCGAAGTAAGCAGCGCGACCATTCAAAGTTGGAGCAAATTGACGAACATGATTGGAGGCATCGGTTTCATGTGTGACTGCATGGAGCATAACCCAAAATTTCTGGTTGTTGCGACGGAACACAGCACCAGTATGGGCAGCACGTCGGACAAGTTCTTCTTCGATGGAGCAAGAGCTGTCATTGGCTTTGAGAAACCCAGGGTCACCAACAAGTTCAGAATTTTCACGGAAAATATAATCAAGGCGAATTCCATGATATCCATAGGCAGTACGAGCGCAACTTTCAATGTTTTCCATCATGATTTGGCCATCGCGATTGTTGAACTTTGGAGGATGAGGAGGAAGTGGGAAGGAGTCCCCTTCCATGAGATCCGGATTTTTTCATCATAGAATTGACCAATGAAAAGAAGATTTGGGATGGTTCCAAGAGCTGGAGTGTGGGTTCTTTGGACCAAAATGAGGACCTTCCCATATTTGGAGATACAATGAATTGTCATCGATTCGCAAGCGGTGACTGTGATAGTCGCATTTGCATTGGTGGGATCTGGAGCTCTTTGCATAGATTTGATGTCTTCACAAACTTGAGAAGTTGTTCTGTTGGCGAAGGAGTCAACAGAGTCAAGACCTTCAACGTCGGTCATGTGTTGCACAAGGGCAGGTTGAATAAGGAGATCGGTTTTGCACCAGTTACGAAATTGGATAACAGCAGCCATTTTGATTGACGATTTTGTTGTTTTTGATGTGTTGTTTGGTTTCAGGTCAAAAAAGTGTTGTACTTGAAGTCAGAAATCACTGGAGAGAATCGCCAGAAGGCGAACGTTGGTGATATGTGGTAACTTCAAATAATTTAGCCCTAAATGTCGAAGCATCTCATGATGAGAGCTGTATTTAAACGTGGCACGGATGGTTGCACGCATGGCACGTCTGCCGTTTAGCCTTTGCTAGCGTACAATTTAGTTAACGCTGCGACGTGATTAGCCTTCGGTGCGCATCCAAACGCCAAAATTGTGGCATGAAAAAATCACAAGATCAATACGACAATGGTGATCCTAACCATGGCTGAATGAGGCAATTTCCTCAAACAGATATTATTTGAAAGCCTTCCCAGGCTCCTCTATCCATTGTGGATTGCCTGGGTCTGATAAACCGTTATATTGAGTAGCTAGGTATGAGAGATTCGGGACGAAAACGAGTACGATGACAAACATGGGGATTTTACAAGATGTGTGCAAATCTCTAGGTTAAACTATCTAACGTACGAATGACGGACACTCTCTGGTCCAATTAACGGTCCCCTCAAGGTGATACTGATGTATCAGAGAACCTTGTACTCCGATTTGGGCTAATATCAACCGTACCCCCTCTTGGGAGGACGTATCATCTAATACTGTCCAAAACTGACAATATCCGGCGACAGATGAAGATGTTTCCAAAAATTAAATAAAAAGAGCAAGTTTTCCATTTTGCTTTGCTTTCCACATGATGTGTTCAATAAGACGGTCACGAACAGGTCCAGGTTGGACCTTGGTTAAAACATCGGCCAAGTTCTCAGCGGAAATGATCCATTCAATTCGTAGGATATCAATTGCGCATCTGGAGCGAACATAGTGATATGCGACAGCGTTCGATTTCTTTTTCAATTGAGATTCAGGAACACTTGAGTTTTTGACAACAGACATATTGTCAACACAAGTATGACAATAACCTTGGATTGGGACGCCCATCATTCTGAGCTTGAATTGTAGTCCCTCAAGTAATTCAACACCTGTCTTTAACCAAAACTGCTTGTCTCGACACTGTTCTCTTTTTCAAATAACAGATAATAATAATAACTGAAACATTAATCGATTAAATGCCATCTAGCGCATACGACTGCCGGTGGAATAAGCGGCTGTAAAGGTCAAGTACCGTGAAGCGACGAGTCAACAACTAATTTGAACCATTGGAGACATCTGGTGGACAGAAAATGCTCTAGTCAGGATCAAGGGGATCCCAACACTAACCGCGTTGAACTACCTCGGTTGGGCCCATATCAAACTGAGAGTGTATACCGTCGTTCACCAATTGGCTACGTTCGCGTAGCTGTACGTTGTCCTCCGAATGTTGCACCAAGTTCCGGTGTTCCCACATATGAAATCCAAGCAAGATCAGCTGATGCGACAGGCGAGAGACCCACAGGGTCTGAGAGCGTTGGCTCCCTCGTGACTGAAGGTACTGTTCCTGCAGGGCCGCCCACTGAACAGACAGCCGGCCTTCCAATAAACCTTGGTAGCCGATGCGTTGTTGGGAGAGGAAAGCACGGCAAAGACGAATCGGAACCAACCGACTGCGAGGTAGGGACGGATCACAAACCCCTTGAAGAAGGTAGAGGATAGCGTGTTTGATGGCTGGGTCAGTGACTTGGGTGTCCAACCATTGGTCCAACGACGCCGTCCAGCGCTCCCATTCCGCACTCGCCGAGGGCACCGTACATCGAGGAACGTGAAGGTGGTCCTCAAACTCGCCGCAGCAGGGACATGCAGCTGAGTCTGCGGCAACCCACCGGACTTTGAACTTCCCTACACCACACATGCCCATGACATGCTTTGTGGTCCAACGTTGGACACCTGCCGGAAGGGAGCTCATGGCGCGAGCCAGACTGGTCCAATCGGTCTCCAGCTCTGCCTCTGGTGTAATCGTCTGCCGCTCGTGCCATCGCTTGCAGAGAGCAGGCAGCGCCACCAGTTCCTGGACCTGTTCTGGATTCAATCGCAACTGTTTGACGTCCCCGATGTAGAGGGCAGCCAATTCGGTAAAGAAACGAGCGTTAGGTGCAATCAATCGGTGTGAAGCTTCAAGCTGGTGGCGATAGGCAACCGCCCACGCATCCACTTCCACATTCCGTTTGGACCACCAAGAGAGGCACAAAAAGGATGTCGCCGTATCAAGGTGACTGTACACGTGGCTAGGTTCCCACGAGGCCCTAGAGCGGGCAAGTGCCTCCCGGATAGAGGAGACCAGGTCAAACTGGGCTTGTTGCGGTGTGACTCGATTGTCACCAAAGGTGTTGAGCAACGCCGAAAATCCATTGCACGCAATCCTAACGCGGGGTGGTGATCCAAGTGTTGGGCCCACTGGTCCAGGAGCCAATCAACAACCATGATACCGGCCAGTAGGCCAATCAGTTCACTCCGGTACGCGCTCTGGTCATCAGTTAGACCTGGAGTCTGGCTCCAAACAATAATACGTTCCGTGCCACCCTTACGTGGAAGCAGTTGAACCGCTGCCATGCCCAGACCGAGCTTATAAGAACCGTCGCTGATCACACACAGCCGGTCTTCGAGTAGGGCTGCAGCAAGGAGGCTCTTGTCGCCATTGATCTCAATTTCTTCAGGGGTCCAGCCAACATACTCCGTCAACCTGGCTGAGGCGGCCATCCAGGCGGCCAGCAAGGACGGTTGAGAGTCGTGATGCGGCTGCAGCGGTACTGTCCCAATGCCGGTGAGGGCTAGAGTGCCCAGCGAAGGCGTAATGTGGACGGTAGCTCGGCACAAGTCAGCTGGGAGTGGTTGGGTCCAAAAGGGGGCTGGCAAGAAGCTGACGCCGTTGTCGGTATGCTCGTTATGTGGTCGTTTGCACCTGGACAATTGCATAGAACGGGGATAGTCCCATTGAATGCTCCGTGTGGAGGAGCGACGGTGACGGTAGTGTTGCCACCCGTGGCCCTGGCGGTGGAACAATCCGTGGGTAGAAGACCATAACCAGTTCCAGTTGTCGAGAGGATCGATCCATGGGCCCAGAGGATGACGCAGTAGGCGCTGGGGTCCGTCAGAGACAAGTAGTGCTCGAGTAAGGTGTTCCTGCCACACCTTCCAGTGGTTCCTGTTGGGCCGGACAGTGCGAGGCCATTGATATGACGACCGATGAGCGTAGTCACGTTCCCCATGCCACATGGACTCTCGTATGCTGCGGCCATCGGCCGTCACGATGTCGGAGACGGTGCAAACTTGGAGGAACATACGGCACCAGTTGAGCCACTTTAGAGCGTCCTGATCCACTTCCAACTCCATGAATACCTCAATGAGCAAGGCATCGCCTTCGCACCGGAGAGGGAGGACAGGAGAGTCAAGAGCAACATAGATATCCAAGTCCTCCAACTCTTTCCAGACTCTTTTGAGCCAAGTATCTGACGCCAAAATTGCCGTGTTGCTATAGTCCTGCTGGAAGAGTCCGAAGGAGGTGCCGGTCTCAAGTTGGTGTTCTTGGACCGCAGCCTCCATATACGCCCCAGTTTTTGTTTGGTTGGACAAGTGGCGAAGCAGAACCTCAATATGTTTAGACACCTGAGTACCAAACGGATGGGGGATGCCCAGACCCTGGAATTTGAGAGGGGCAAGAACCATGTCACGAGGAAAGCTCCTACATAAGCCAGCCTTCGGCAGGCAGACTTGAAGAACAGGACTCATAATCGACACCCATGTCGCAGCATCCAGTGTAGTTAACACCATAGGATATTCCAGGGATTTCATCACTGTTGTCTTGATAAGGAAAATGACATTGTATTTGTGTAGATGCCCCGATCGCACTTGCTCAGCCCACTTTTTGGCGATACTCTTGAGGTGGGCGACGTGAGCATGTTGATCTTCCAATGGGGCCAACATGACCCCCAAGGTTTTCTCCGCCTCATCCGGCTCCAGACGGCTTAAGGCTTCCAATTCGCCAGTCAGTCCAGGTATTTGTAATGGATGATCCGGTAGAAGTTGGTGCGTCCGGCAGAACCTCCATTTGCCCTCTCTGGGGTCCCACACAAAGTCAATCAACCACCAAAAGGACTTTTCTGGGTTAATTGCCCCTCCAGTAGCACTAATGCCTCCAGCCCACGTGGAAGCCGCTTGTTGGACGGAGTGGCATATATCCTCGCCAGAT